TATATATATATATATATATATATATATATATATATATATATATTTTTAAAACCACTGTTTGGGGAAACTGCTTTTTCCCTCTGGCGACTCATGAAAAATATTGACCAGAGCACTTCAGCTCTGATTTGTGGTGTACTCCATTTGTGTTTCTGGGTTTGGCCCTGGATGTTCTGTCCCCAAGGCACCAAAAAGCCCAAGAACTTCCCCTCCCCAAAATAATCTCTCTGGATTAAGTCCTGAAACCTTATTACAGTTCTTGAGATAAGAGCTCATTAAGCAGCGTGAAAATATCCTTGGAAAAGGGGATTTCAAAATCCGCCCTGAGAGGTGGCGAGGACGCCGAGGAATCGGGATGGGCTGGTTCATATTGCTGGGTGATGTTTATCTTTGTTATCCTCAGGAATTGTCACCTGGGAATCTCCTGCACCAGGGACCTGAAGCTACCAGGAAAAATGGGAAGGGCTGGCAGGAAGTTGTTTGCATATCTCTTCTTCTGGGTGGGTGACTGAGGCAAGAAATAGAGTGTAATATCTATAAAAAATATCTGCAAGATCCTGAGGCAGGGGTGGTATCTTGGCAGCATTTTAGGTGTCCAAAAAAAACCCCCAAAAAACTTGGATCCTACTGGACACTGGCACACCACAAACCACAATTTTGGGCTGCAACAAGCAGGAGCATCCAGAAAAGTCATTAGGGAGTGGCAGGGGGAGAAATCTCATCTAGAAATGGAGCTTGAGAGGGAGAAATCGCACCTGGAAACGGCAACAACAACAGAAATCACTAACTTTCTTCCCCCTTCTGCCCTCCCGCCTTATTTCTCAACAAAACTTTTTAAGTTACAGATTTTAAACCTGTTCTGAATGGATAAAAGCTTGCACCAGTGCCTGGGGAATGGCAGGAAGGCACGTGCTGTCATGATTGGAGCACCGGGAGAATGTGCTAATTACATAACAGCCCAGGAATTTGGCAGCACCGATGCAGAAATAGGGCAAATAATCCTCTTTCCCCATCACCTCCTTCCCCAGCCCTGTCTGCTTTGCTTTTTCAGGATGGAAATTTAACGTTCAAACCCTTCCACACAGGTTTTTCACCTGGTAAAAGCTGAAAAAACAATTCACCCAGAAGTGTCGCCACACCTCAAGCCAAATTTTTTCCCCTTTTTAAAATTAAAAGAAACCAAACAAATCATCTACTAAAGAGTCATATTTTGCTTTGGTGCTCAAGAAGTGATTCCAAATCATGCCAGAAGCTGGAAATAATCTTGCTTGGCCCCACTTTGCCTGTGGGCAAAGCCTTGGCCCAGAATAATTTCACATTCCTGTCACTTCCATAATTCAGACTGCAGGGACATGAGGACATCGGTGCTTTGTCACTGATGCTGAGCAGGGAAGCAATTTCCCTGCTTGATGGAGGAAAAATGGGGACAGAATCACTGCCAGTGCCTTTCCAACCTGCTGCAAATGGTTTTTGAGTCCTTCAGGCCAGCTCCCATCCAATTCCATAAAATCAGCTCCAGGTGCTCCCTGCACTGGCATTCCCAGCTGTGGGAAATGGAAAAAGAGCAGCCTTCAGACACCGCCAGTGCAGAGCAGCCATCCCAAAATCACGAAATCGCAGAATTCCAGAAGCCCTGAGGTCGGAAAAGCCCCCACAGACCATTGAATCCACACTGTTCCCAATGCCCACCTTGTCCTGAGCCCAGAGCTCTGAGGGCCACCTCCAGGAATTCCTTGGACACCTCTGGGGATGGGCATTCCAAACCTATTTAAAAATTGACATTTTTACAGGAGGAAATAAGTTTGTTATTGTGAAAATGACAGGGTTTTTTTCTCACAATCTCCTCAGATGAAAAGGACTGGAATTCCCAGAAAGCTGTGGGGATTTATAGGGGTTTTGGTGGGAGCTTGTTCTTGGTGGAGCCACCAGTACAATTGTTATTCCTGTGTAAATTCACGAGCTTAGAAACAAGCTTCCGTCCTTTCTCCACCTGGAAAGAGGATCCAAATTGCCCTGGAAAGAGGATCCAAATCCCCTGGAACGCTGGTCCTGGACTCAGAGGGGTCGCTCTGTGCGTGGGACATCAAGCACAAGGAGTGAGGAGGTTGAGGATGCTGCCCAGCAACAACCTCAGACACAAGGACTGCCCAGCACGTGCCGGCTCTGTGACCTCTGCACGTCACCTGATGTCACCTGAACCTCGGACTGTCCCCAGCTGTCACCTGGGCACCTCCAAGGCCATTATGACAAAGCCACCCCTGATGTTTGGCAGGTTTGGATCCAGATCAGGATCTGTCTTTGTGTAGAATTCCCAGTGAATTCCCCGATATTCTCACCAGAAGGGAACCAGGGACAAAGAACCAAGACCAAGGGAGGCTCCAGGGCTTTCTATAACCAGGGATGGGCGGAGCACCAGCACCAGGGGCCAATAGGTTGAGGGCAAAGGGGCGGTACAAAGGCGGGGCCAAAGGGTAACAACCAACCAGGGCCCAGGGGCAGAGTGACAGGGAACCAATGGGGAAGAGAGGACCAGGGAACATTCTCGAACTGGAGTGGAGAACAGGGATGACATCACTCAGGGGCGGGACAAAAGGGTGACATAACTCGGATGATGTAATTAAAACTGGGGTATATAAACTCATAAAGAACCTTCCTTAAACAGGGGTTCAAGGAATTCCAGGGAATCCCACTAACCACCTCTCCTACAACTCCTGGGATGCAACAATCTTTGAGGGATGCAGGATGCTCTACCACAGAGCGGGAGCAAAGCATGGGAAGATTCAGAGGGTTTATCCCCCAGGCAGACAGTACAGGCTGTGAGGAGCTCATGGAGGACCCTGGAATGCCTGGGAATTCAAGGAATGCCAGCATCTTCTTCAGTGGGCTTTGGTTCAAGCTCCTCCGTCATCCCGAAGCGAGAGCCAAGGAAAGCAGCCCCAGCCCGCGGTGCTTTTTGCTGCAGTCAGCACCAAAGGGCCAGCTGGTGACAGCGCTGAGGGATCTCCAGGAGGGGCTGAACCTGCCCTCAGACTCCCAAAAACACCTGGACGTGCTTGGCATCCACCTGTAAAAATATCCAGTGTTCTAAAGGCGTGGGTTCGAGCCCCAAGGGAAAGGAGGAGCAGAAGGAGGAAGAGGAGAAGGAGAAGAGGGAGAGGGAGAAGGAGAACGAGGAAGAGGAAGAGGAGAAGAAGGAGAGGAAGAAGGAGAAGGAGAAGAAGGTGAAGGAGAAGGTGGAGAAGGAGAAGGAGGAAGAGGAAGGCTGAACTCCTTCAATAGCCAAAACCCTTTGCACTACTTCTGCAGAGGACAAGGAAACAGCCCTGGGAGCGGGTCTGGATGCCTGGGAGAGGCTGCAATCGCTCTCTGGGCACGCTCCGCCCGTGGGGGCATCTCGAGACAGATTCCACAGGAGGCTCCCCGGCCAAGTGCAGCGTGGCAGGGATTCTGCAGCTACTTGCACCCAGCCGTTGTCGGAGCAGGGAGCGCTCCGGCTCCTGGCTGGTACCTCAGCTGATAATTGCTCAGAAAAATTAAGGGTTGGGTAATTCCTCTCGAAATTAATTGCCTTGCTACGCTGCCGCAGGGCACGTGCCGCAAGAAGGTTTGAAGATGATACAACCACTTCCCTCTTCAGGATTAAACCGGGTGGCAAAAGTCCACCTTTGTTATTTTGGCTTTGGGGATTCCTTTTCTCTGAATTATTAATTTATTTTTTTATTTTTTAATTTTTTTTTTCTGCTGTTTCTGAAATGGCTTTGAGGGTCCTGAGGAGCTGCAAGAATTTATGGGCAGTGCTTTTGTCAGCCTCACCTGACGCTGGCAGCTCAGTCCTCCGCAGCAGCTCGCTTTGCTCATTTTAACACTGCTTTTATCAGCTGCTACTCCTCTCACAATGTTTATAAACAGAGGCAGGAAATAAGAAGAGACTCGGGATATTCACAAGTGGATCTAAAGCAAGCCTTTCTCTCTGCTCTCAGTTAACTCCTCTCTCTCAGGCTGTGCAGCTGGTTTGGGGTGAAATCCTTATTTCCCCTGCATGTCTTGATTTTGGTGAGATTTTCTCATTCTCTCTTCTTGTCTCTTGTCTCCCTGGAGGACGATTCCTCTGGGAAATGGATGCTTTGCCTCTGCTGCCTCCTTCCTTCTCCTCCTTGTGGAAAGAATATCCTTTTTCAGGAAAAGAAACCACAGACACATGGATTCCTAAAGAAATGGAGCAGGCACTCCCTGCCCAAGGCAGACCAACTTTATTTGTGTCTCTGCCCTTCTTAAACACTCACAATGAAGTTTTTACCACCCCCCAGGGAAAATCCCATCCACCACATCTTCACCAAGCTTTCCCTTTGCTTTACCTTTATTACCAGTCCGAATCATAGAGTTTTTTCACTCAGTTCACATCTTCCAGACTTGTTGCTCCATGGGAATGATCTCCAAGTGGTCCAGAGCTCTCCTGGCCTTGACCTCGAAGGATCCTGCAGGTCCTTGAGCTCTTCCATTTCTGAGAAGTCAAACAGGACATTTGCTTTTGCCACTCTGGGACCAAACACAGACCTGGGGATCTGCTGCAGCCTCCAGAACACTCTGGATAAAACCTGAAGGTGTTTTATCCAGAGTGTGAGTGGAATTCCTGTCTCAACATCCTTTGGTGAGATGCAGCTCTGAGTGGACAGGACAGGCATTGGCACAAAGCACAGGCTGGGAGAGCTGGGGGTGCTCAGCTGGAGAGGAGAAGCTCCAGGGAGAGCTCAGAGCCCCCTCCAGGGCCTGCAGGGGCTCCAGGAGAGCTGGAGAGGGACTGGGGACAAGGCCTGCAGGGACAGGACCCAGGGAATGGCTTGAGATTGGAAAAGGGGAGATTGGGGTGGGATCTTGGGCAGGAATTGTTCCCTGGGAGGGTGGGGAGGGGCTGGGCTGGAATTGCCAGAGCAGCTGTGGCTGTCCCTGGATCCCTGGCAGTGCCCAAGGCCAGGCTGGACACTGGGGCTGGAGCAGCCTGGGACAGTGGAGGTGTCCCTTGGGGTGGCACTGGGTGGGATTTAAGGTCCCTTTCCACCCAAACCGTTTCAATTCCATGTTTCAAAGGGACTATGCAAGGCACTCCAGAGGAACCTGCTCCCTGCTTGTCTGAGTCTGCACCTTCCTCATCCCTCCTGTGTTTCAGGAAAAGTTAAACCTTCCTAAGCCCAGAGGAGCCCTGGTTGTGCTGAGCTCAGGGTCAGCAGGCTCTGATCATGACTGGGACCTGCTCCTTGCTCAGCAAACTCCTCCAGCATCCTGGCTCTGAGCTGAGCTCCAGGGAGCGCAGGAAATCCAGCAGCACCCGGCAGAGCCAGCGGGGCACCAGCGCCAGCCCCTCACCAGGCCTGCCCTTGTTTTTGTCGCTCCTGTTTCGCCCTAACCCGGGGTTAATCACCGACAGTTCCCAATTCCGCTCATGGAGAGGGGAAAGGGAAATGAGGGCTCTGCCTCGGACCCCGAGCTGCTTCATTTGCTGCTTTTCCACGCTGGGAGGCCGAGGCTGCTCGGAGGCCACGGGAGCTGCCAAGGCCACGAGCCGCTGCCGCCATCCGCGGCTCTCAGCTTCGCTCCGCATTGTTCTCGCTTCCCCTCCTCTGAATCATAAAAACTCCCTGACAGCACCAGGGCTGCTGCTGTTTCTGCCATGGCTCAGTCTCAGAGGTTTTCCACTCAAGCCCTTAAATCTGTTTAACCCTTCTCTGTCCTCTGACTGTCAGGAGGATGTAATCAAACCACAGAGTTGGTGAGGTTGGAAAGAACCTTCCGGATCATCAGCTCCAACAATCCACCGGTGCCACCAGCATAATCACCACCTGTGTCCTCAACATCCACATCCATGCTTTTTGAACACCTCTAGGGGGTGGTGATTCCAGCCCCTGTCGGTGCTTTGCAACCCTTTCAGTGAATAAATTTTCCCTAATATCCAATTTAAACCTCTCCTGGTTCAACTTGAGGCCGTTCCCTCTCCTCCTGTCCCTGTTCCTGGCAGCAGAGCCCGACCCCCCCGGCTGTCCCCTCCTGCCAGGGACTTGTGCAGAGCCAGAAATTCCCCCTGAGCCTCCTTTGCTCCAGCCTGAGCCCCTTCCCAGCTCCCTCAGGAATTCTCCAGCCCCTTCCCAGCTCCCTCAGGGATTCTCCAGCCCCTTCCCAGCTCCCTTCCCTGCCCTGGCTCCAGCCCCTTTCCTGTCATGAGATGCCCAAAATTAACACCCACCCTTTGCATGGCAGGGGGACACAAAGCCCCAGGTGCAGTTTCAAATAACTTTGGGGTAGAAAAGTTCCTCTCTGATTGGGAAAGGTCCCACAGATCAGACACTTTGTTGTTGTGGGGATGTTCTGTGGGACATTCGCTGATAAAGTGGGAATTGCTGCGGCACAGCAGGTGCAGGTCCGTGAAATCCCGGGGTAATGGATTGGGAAATGCAGAGTGCCGGTCAGGGAAGTGCCAGATCTCCCTCTTCAGGCTGCTGCTCTTGCCTCTGAAGGGTCACAGTTTACCTGACAAATGTGATTCACCCCAAACAACAATGTCTTGAGGAAGGAGAGAAAAATTACTTTTGATAAAAACCATTCACTAAGTGAGGCTGCCCTGGGACTTTGGAAGTCTATCCTAGAGAAAATTTGCTGGACAAAGTGCAGAAAAGAAAAAAAAAGGGAGATAAATGGATTTTATCACCCAGGAATTATGTAATGACCAGGTGTATTGCCACCTTTGGCTCCTCTGCACCCTGTCCTGTGTTTCTTTCCCTAGGATTTACATTTCCCCACAGTTTTGCAACTCCAGAAAGCGGCTGGGTTTGCAAAGCAGCTGGAGCTCCATGGGTTTCCCTGCCTTTCTTGGCACGGAATTTCCCCAGAACAGCCAGCCCACAGTCCCAGGCAGGCAGAGGTGCTCTGTAATCCACCTCTTGCTGCCTGGCTCTGCCAGTCCAGGAGCTGTGCAATTCCCTGGGATGCTGTGCGGGCACCACTGCACTTTTGGGGTTTGTGAAATGTTCTGGCAGCAGCTGGGGACCCCTGGGCTGGGACAGTCCCCAAAAGCTGGGGCAGCTCTGTGCCCCTGCAGAGGAGCTGCAGCTGGAATTGCACTCGGGCAGGAACTCCCCCAGCCTTCAAGGATATTTAACAGGGAATGTTCTGGCCAGGGGTGATATCCTGGTTCATGCCTCAAAACGTTAACATGAATAAAAATAATAATTGCATTATATTTTTATATGCATACATATAAAAATATGTATAATTTATAATATAAAAACATGTATAAATAAAAATTTAAATATATTTTAATATAATATTATATATATAATATAATATATTAATATAATTTAATATATTACATACTATGATATATTAATGTAATGTATTAATATAATGTATCCATATAATATATTACATAAATTATATAAATATAATATTTAAATATATTGATAAAATAATAAATTAGTAGTAATTGTGTTAATAAAATTATATTAATAAAGATCTATTTTATTAAAGTTATTATATTACATAGAAGTATTTATATATAATATTAATTATATTAATATATTTTATATTATATATTATATTATATTATATTATATTATATTATATTATATTATATTATATTATATTATATTACTATAAATTATATAAATTATATAAATTATATAAATTAAAACTATAGTAATGAAATAAATTAATATATTATATTTAAATGGCATTAATAAAAATACAGGAACCCTGAATGTCTTGAGATGACACCCAGCAGGATGAACAAAGTGTAGGATGGAATTCTGAGTGCACACTCTGCTGGGAAAGTGTCCACATGTCCCCAAGCCCCCAGTGCAAGGGGGGACACTGGAGCCACGGGATGTGACGGTTTCTCTCTGTTTCTCTCTTTTTGACCCCAAAGCAGTGTTTTGGAACAGGGAAATTGCACCAGGCCAGCAGAGATGGAGCTTCAGGACACAGAAATCTGCCCCAGGGGAAGCCTTGCCCTGCTCACACAAACTGCAGGGGTTTGGGGGGGCTCCACAGGGGCAGAGAGCACCCCCAGAGCCCAGTGGGAGGGTCCTGTCCCCATAACTGGGCTCTGTCTGCCCCATAACTGGGCTCTGTCTGTCCCCATAACTGAGCTGTGTCT